TCATTTGGGAAAAAAGAGAGTGACTTGGGAATAATTCTTCTGTTAAAATGACAGACAGAGGATAAATCAGTTCAGTTCAGCTCAGATGCTCAGTCATGTCTAACTCTTTGGGACCCCATGGACTGCAGCACTCCAGGCCTCCCTTTCCATCATCAACTCCCAGAGTTTACTCAAACTCAAGTCCATTGAGTTGGTGATGCCATCCAACCATCTCATCCTCTGTCATCCCCTTCTCCTCCTGTCTTCAATCTTTCCCAGCATCAGGGTCTTTTCAAATGAGTCAGTTCTTCACATCAGGTGGCCAAAGTATTGGAGTTTAAGCTTCAGCATCAGTCCTTCCAATGAATATTAAGGATTGATTTCCTTTAGGATGGACTGGTTGGATCGCCTTGCAGTCCAAGGGACTCTCAAGAGTCTTCTCCAACACCACAATTCAAAAGCATTAGTTCTTCAGTGCTCAGCTTTCTTTATAGTCCAACTCTCCCATCCATACATGACTAGTGGGAAATGCATAGCCTTGACTAGATGGACCTTTGTTGGAAAACTAACGTCTCTGCTTTTTATATGTTGTCTAGGTTGGTCATAACTTTCCTTCCAAGGAGTAAGCGTCTTTTAATTTCATGGCTGCAATCACCATCTGCAGTGATTTTGGAGCCCAAAAAAATAAAGTCTGACACTGTTTCCACTGTTTCCCCATCTATTTCCCATGAAGTGATGGGACCAGATGCCATGATCTTAGTTTTCTGAATGTTGAGCTTTAAGCCAACTTTTTCACTCTCCTCTTTCACTTTCATCAAGAGGCTCTTTAGTTCTTCTTCACTTTCTGCCATAAGGGTGGTGTCATCTGCATATCTGAGGTTATTGATATTTCTCCCGGCAATCTTGATTCCAGCTTGTGCTTCTTCCAGCCCAGCGTTTCTCATGATGTACTCTGCATATAAGTTAAATAAGCAGGGTGACAATATACAGCCTTGACATACTCCTTTTCCTATTTGGAACCAGTCTGTTGTTCCATGTCCAGTTCTAACTGTTGCTTCCTGACCTGCATACAGGTTTCTCAAGAGGCAGGTCAGGTGGTCTGGTATTCCCATCTCTTTCAGAATTTTCCACAGTTTATTGTGATCCACACAGTCAAAGGCTTTGGCATAGTCAATAAAGCAGAAATAGATGTTTTTCTGGAACTCTCTTGCTTTTTCGATGATCCAGCGGATGTTGGCAATTTGATCTCTGGTTCCTCTGCCTTTTCTAAAACCAGCTTGAACATCTGGAAGTTCACGGTTCACGTATTGCTGAAGCCTGGCTTGGAGAATTTTGAGCATTACTTTACTAGCGTGTGAGATGAGTGCAATTGTGCGGTAGTTTGAGCATTCTTTGGCATTGCGTTTCTTTGGGATTGGAATGAAAACTGACCTTTTCCAGTTCCATGGCCACTGCTGAGTTTTCCAAATTTGCTGTCATATGGAGTGTAGCACATTCACAGCATCATCTTTTAGATTTGAAATAGCTCAACTGGAATTCCGTCATCTCCACTAGCTTTATTTACAGTGATGCTTTGTAAGTCACACTTGACTTCACATTCCAGGATATCTGGCTCTAGGTGAGTGATCACACCATTGTGATTATCTGGGTCATGAAGATCTTTTTTGCACAGTTCTTCTGTGTATTCTTGCCACTTCTTAATGAATGTCTTCTGCTTCTGTTAGGTCCATACCATTTCTGTACTTTATTGTGCCCATCTTGCATGAAATGTTCCCTTCTTTTTCCCATTCTATTGTTTTCCTTGATTTCTTTGCACTATACATTGAGGAAGGCTTTCTTATCTCTTCTTGCTATTCTTTGGACTCTACATTCAAATGGGTATATCCTTCTTTTTCTTCTTTGCTTTTCACTTCTCTTCTTTTCACAGCTATGTGTAAAGCCTCCTCAGACAGCCATTGTACTTTTTTCCATTTCTTTTTCTTGGGGATGGTCATGATCACTGTCTCCTGTACAGTGTCATAAATCTCTGTCCATAGTTCTTCAGGCACTCTGTCTATCAGATCTAATCCCTTGAATATTTTTCTCACTTCCACTGTATAATCATGAGGAATTTTATTTAGCTCATACCTGAATGGTCTAGTGGTTTTCCCTACTTTCTTTAATTTAACAAATTTCTTCAACAAATTTCTGAATTTGGCAATAAGGAGTTCATGATCTGAGCAACAATCAGCTCTCGGTTTTGTTTTTGCTGACTGTATTGAGCTTCTCTATCTTTGGCTGAAAATAATATAATCATTCTGATTCCAGTATTGAAATAATGAATCTGATTTTTGTATTGAAGCTGAAATTGAACAGTTATATGAAGACCTACAAGACCTTCTAGAACTAACACCCCAAAAAGATATTGATTTTATTATAGGGGACTGGAATGCAAAAGTAGGAAGTCAAGAAACACCTGAGTAACAGGCAAATTAGGCCTTGGAGTATGGAATGAAAAACGGAGCATAAATAGATTGATGGATAAATGGATGGCTGAATAGACTGACATAAACTTAGGCTTCTTATATATTCATGATCATGTTTTTCTTAATATGTTTTAGCTACTCTTTTAATAAACTTTATGTGATAATAATTGCTCTATGTCAATCAAACATTTTCTAGAGGATAATATTTATGGCTAAATTAGATTGCAGCCTATAGATGTACCATAAATTATCAATATTTCATGCATTTGAAGTGAAAAATATACTTTGCCAAATATTTCAGGCAGATTATGCAAATTTAAAATTCCATTAGCTTCATACAAATGACTGCTCTACTGTAAGAAAAGCCAAGAGGAGTTAATCATTTTCAAAGGAGCTCTAAGTGTAGGAAATTGAGACTAAAAGTAATGTCATACTGTCATTTTAGTATTCTTTTTAAATTACTAGTCATGTTAAAGATGTTCTCAGAAGATAATTGGGTATTTTTTGCCTTTTCTCATATTTGTTTTCAAATTATCCTTTCTCATTTTCTTGAAAGCTTACTGTCTCCTTACTTGTCTCTCCTTGTTATTATGGACCTGATATTTATTGTTAATGATACATTGCTATAATTTTTGTATTACACTATTATGAAAATGACTCATTCTAGAAATAATGTTTACATTTTATAGTACTGTTTTATAAAATACATATAATACTTTATTCATACCATATTATTAGCAATATATATTACTAATCTGGTTTTTGCTTGCTCCAGTTATTTTTCAACATTTGGAAATCAGATATATATTCAATTTATCTATTCATTCTTAGCCCATTGAGAAGATTTCATGGCAAATCATTTTGTTTAGATTATCTTGCTTGTAAATATAGAAATTAAAATATAATTAACCAGGTGAACTTCATTAGAGAAAAAACACAAGGGCTTAATTTTTAAAGAGGTAGTAGCAAAGCAAGAAATATCCTCTTCCATAAATATAAAGAGCTATTTATCTTTCAAAGTAGCATGTCTTTCCTAAAAAGATATATAGTTGACAAGAAATTATAAACTGAATCACAAAAATATTAAGGGTAAAATTATAACAATACAATCAGGAATTAGAGATAAATAGATGACACAGGGAGATTTGAGAGTGACAACGCAATAAACTGGAGCCAAGTACAAATTAACATTGTGCCATTCGAAATGTAAAAAATGTGGCAAAAATATTCCCAAGCATCAGTGAAATAAAATCAGAACACAAGCTACCTGATGTAGGCACATACTCCTGTGAAAGTTTAAACACTTCTTCAAATTCTTATTTGTCTGGAAATATTGACTGGTTTCATTGCCATTTTAATAAGGCAATTGGAGCTACACTTTTCAATGACCTTCCCTCCAATGTGCATAAGGGATTATTGCAACTGAGCACTGACACAGCACTTTAAATAAACCTGGACCTCAACTTTGCTAAATATGTAAACATCCTATGATTTCTTTGACTGCTGTATGCACATTATGCTCAAGTATATGTCATTTTGCATAGAGTTCCTCTGTAATTAATCTAACATAGTAACACTGATGATAAACTCACTGTCTTTTAGTGAGAGTCAAACCCCTAATAAAAAGGACTCAAATATCATGCTGTCAGTCCAACATATTTCTCTAATGTCTTGCATTTATGGAGTTCCTTAAATATATTTTCATTTCTTCTAGTCCATAATAAAACATTATATACTACACTAGTGAGAAGAATAGGGGAACAAAAAATAACTCTCTTAGATTAGGAGCGAAATCTCAAAGACATTAAACAGCTTGCCTTATTTCAAATGACTAAAAACAAAATAATCAACTGAGATATCCCTGTCCTTTGGCATTTAACTTCACCTTTCTTTAAAAAAAAGAATTAATTCACTTGTTTTAGCTATCTTAATGCTTTTAATTATTTTTATAATAGTGATTACTACTGCTACTACTATTACTGTTTCTATTATGATTATATTAAGAAAAACAGCTAAAGGGCTGTATTTTTATCATTATATACAAAGCTCTCTGTGACCTGGCTTCCGAGCTCACTGCCCATCTTTATTGTTTTAATAATAACATTTCCCAAATAAACTCTATTCTCCAGCTGTATTGAGCAACTGGTCACACTGCCTCCAACCTCTTCAGGCTTACATATGCTACTATTTCCTTCAAACTCGACTCTCTTTTTTATTTCATTAACTCTTTATGTGAATGAATTTTAACATCTAAATTAAAAATGACTATGACCTCTAATATAAAACCTTCAATGATCTCTGCTTGCAAAGTCTGAATTTGCATCATTACCCTTTTACCCATAGCATTTTATGGAACCTATCCACATTTAGAGGGCATTGGGAAATTTACTAAAATCTTTACTTCAATCCCAGCTCGGTTTATGAAGCTAATAAACCTTAAGTTTCAAGAATATTTCCTTTCAGCAGAACGTTTTGGTGGATCCTAGCAATATGTTCACACAGCATTTTAAAGGAAAATCCAACAGAGAAGAACAACTCATTAAGCTGGGCCCAGTATTTGGCATCCTGCTGTTCCTCTTGGAGAGTTTGCCAACTCTTGTCTTACAAGCCATGAAGAAGACAGTTGCTAATATCCAGAGTAGATCACAGGATTGATCACAGTCACATAGAAATTCGAAGTGGTGCTCGCTTCAGTAGCACATATACTAAAATTGGAACAATACAGAGAAGATTAGCATGGCCCCTGCGCAAGGATGACACGCAAATTCATGAAGCATTTGATATTTTTTAATACCCCACTCACACCTATGGATAGATCAACTAAAAAGAAAATTAACAAGGAAACACAAACTTTAAATGACACAATGGTCCAGCTAGACATAATTGGTATCTATAGGACATTTCACCCCAAAACAATCAATTTCACCTTTTTCTCAAGGGCACACGGAACCTTCTCCAGAATAGATCACATCCTGGGCCATGAATCNAAGGCAAGGGTGGGATGTTCTGAGAGAATAGCATTGAAACAAGTATACTATCAAGGGTGAAACAGATCCCAGCCCAGGTTGGATGTATGAGACAAGTGCTCAGGGCTGGTGCACTGGGAAGATCCAGAGGGATGGGATGGGGAGGGAGGCAGGAGGGGGGATCGAGATGGGGGAGCACATGTAAATCCATGGCTGATTCATGCCAATGTATGGCAAAAAAACACTACAATGCTGCAAAGTAATTAGCCTCCAGCTAATAAAAATAAATGAAAAAGAAAGAAAGAAAGAAAAAAACAGAAAGTACCGATTTGGTATAAAATAAAAGGCTCTTGCTTATTAAAAAAAAAGAAAGAAAGAAATTCAAAGTGACGCTCCAGGCTTTCCAGAGTGCTCTAACATAAAGATCCAAGATCAGGGATTGAAGAGAGAAGCAGACAAAGGAGCCAGTTCTGGATTTCCCATGAAGATATTTGCTGATTCCTGGACTTAGAAGGACATGAGGAAGAAAGCCAAGTAAAAAGTAACAACAACAACAAAAAAGGTAAAGCAGAATTTTCAGCAATCGCTTGTTGCTAAGGAAACAAAAACTGAAATTCAGGACCTTGAAAGGAGGGTGATTCTGAATTTAAACAAACAAGTAAATAAATAGAAAAGTGAAACACAAAAACAAAACTCAGTGAGAACTATATAGGACATATTTAAGAAGTACAAATGAGCCAGAACTTTATAAAGCCAAACTTTATAAAGAGTATAGTCCAGAAAGAAGTCATTGGAATGAGGTGACTCACTCCCCTTCTTCTTGGAAGAATACAGGATTGGGAAAATACTTCAACCTAAGTTATATATAAATATAACTGAAGTTATATATGCCATATATATATATATATGTATGCTGTGCTGTGCTTTAGTCACTCAGTCATGTCCAACTCTTTGTGACCCTGTGGACTGTAGCCTGCCAGGCCTCTCTGTCCATGGGGTTTCCCAAGCAAAAAACACTAGAGTGGGTTGCCATTTCCTTCTTTAGGGATATATGTATGTGTGTGTGTGTGTGTACACACACACATTTAAACTGTGGATTGATTCATGTAAATTTCCGAATGCTACTGGAAAGCCATGCCATTTTTCATCCATGCATTTTTTGCAATTGCATAGCAGCATCATTTCCCAATAGGACACAATGCTATATATAAATGCACTTAAGGTATGTTAGAAGTAATAGACATAAGTGCAGAGGAGCATGAAATAAACATTGAAATGGGGGTTCATAAACTGTAAACGGCTAGAAAAAAATGAACACGAATCTTTTAATGACACACTTAGCCATCACAGTAATATTCTAATGAATTTGCACCATGGTTGAATCCAGTGTTGGGCTGCAGTGGATGCTTCTCTTCTCATGAGTGCCCATTTGAAGTATCTTGCCACAACTTTGCAGAGACATCAAGTTGCTTGCACGGAATTGGTCATGCATAGGAATTATATACAAAACAATGGAAAATGGTAAAATTTGATAAAATTTATATCAAAAATATGGTTATAAAATTTTTAGCAGCACAACACTAGCTTCAACTCTGATGATTTTGAACATCTGGAGTTATATTTACTCTTGAGTGTCTTCTTTAGAAGGAAGATGAAGTGAAACAAACAAACAGAACAGAATAGATCCTCATTCTTTAACTCTATTTTATGGTGCATGATAATTCTTCAAACTGTTTTGAAGGTTCTTTAGCCATGAAGAATATTATCATTGTTAAAATACTAGTTTCATTCTAAACCAAATTTATCAACATTAGGAATTTGTTTCTACATAGGGCAGAAGGCTTCCCTGATAGCTTAGTTGGTAAAGAATCCACCTGCAGTGCAGAAGACCCCAGTATGATTGCTGGGTCAGGAAGATCCCCTGGTAAAGGGATAGGCTACCCACTACAGTATGCTTGGGCTTCCCTTGCGGCTCAGCTGGTAAAGAATCCACCTGCAATGCAGGAGACCTTGGTTCAATCCCTGGGTTGAGAAGATCCCCTGGAGAAGGTAAAGGCTACCCACTCCAGTATTTTGGCCCAGAGAACGCCAACAACTGTAGAGTCCTTGGGGTCACAAAGAGTGGGACACGACCAAGCAGCAAGGCTGAAGGAAACACTCCTGGCCTAGTTTAGGCCATCTTTTTCTTATATTTCAAAGTTTTCATGTGATGATTTAAAATCCACATTTGAAAATACCCACTCATGAATGCATTTCATTTTTTTTTTTTTTTAGTTAAGGAAATTCAACTATGTAAAAACAATCAAAAAACAGCTTGAAAGTGCACCTCAATGTTAAAAAATAAATTTTGTGTATTGAATCTTTAATTTACCACAGCTTTAGCTAATTCCAATTCTATTTGTGACTTCACTGATTTTTGCAACATTCAAAACAAAGGAGGTAAATTTTCTCTAAAAGCATACCTATTTCTGCAGGTGAATGCAAATTTTGCATGCACTATTGGAAGTATGACAATCACTTTCAGGCAAATTAATAGAGAATTCAAGTATGCAGCACTGGTCTATTGGTCTAGAGAAATTAAGAAGTCCTGACTAAGGTTCAGGGAATAAGGTCAAAAAAGGGCAATATTTTAGTCTCAGGGAATAACTTGATACATTAGAGGGCAGGGACAAAAAACATATTTATGTATAGAAATCAAAAGCTTCTTAAAAAAAAAAACAAACTCACCCTTTACTTATTTATGTACTTTTAATGTTCACTTATTTACTTGTTTTCCCCTAATGTTACATGATAATTCTTGCATTAAGATATGCAACCACTGTGTGACTCTATAAAAACAAATGGTGCACAAGTGACTGGAGAGTATTAATACCTTTTCCAAAAGAATAAGTGCATGGAATCAAAGGTGCACTGAACTTTTATGCAGGGAGTTTATTCCTGGAAGACTGATTACTCAGAAGAATTATGAGGCCAAGTCATGATGGTTTTGGAGAATAGCCTAGTCTGAAATTGATCATTTAAGAAAACCAGAAATACTATTTAGTGTGACAGGCCAAGGGCTCATATTAATACCAATATGTGATAGGAATAAATATTATCCAAGGAAAAGTTGTTTGCAGCAATATGCAGAGAAGCACCTGATTGTGACCTCATGATGAAATATTAACAGGATGCTAAATGTCATTACAGGGAAGGGCTTTGTTGCTGTATTTAAAAGATGATTATACAAATCTTACAAAATTATACAGCAAAAGAAAGCACAATAAGAAGTGGATCCAGACGTTAATGTCCTATAAAATATAACTAGTAATTAAAGGATTACAGTTCAGTTGACTATAATCTAGAATATAAATATTACTAATAATTTAATCAGACAAAATACAACTATTTGGAGTAAGCGCACATAAATTAATATTCCTGTTAAGAGTCACACACCTTCAACTTTCCTGGAATTATGATGACTTTTCTATGAAAATTTCTCTTTTGTCTCATTCTAAGAAAAGAGAATAGTTGATGCCATAAAAATTAGAAATTAATCTTTAATTAGATCATTGTACAAATGAATTTCATAAAATAATTTTCTCAGTGGAGCTACATGAAAGTTTTAGCTTGAGTTTTAGTTTCTAAAGGATCTGTAGGCACAGTTCAGCATTATCTGATCTTACCTTTCATATCGCTCCTCATAAACATATCCTTTCTCTTCAAATTATCTTCACATCACTTTAAATGATGAGATTTACAAATTTGTTTAGATGATGATATATATTTTATTTTCATAAGAAATCTGCATGGTTTACAAGCAACTGGATGGTTTTTCAATTTCTTCATGAATCTCAGAAAAAAACAAATGAAGCTCTATATTTACTTCCGAAGAACTAAGTTAAAATTTTCCTGGAAATATTGCATGTAACTCAGGGGCTTCCCTGGTGGCTAGTAAAGAATCTGCCTGCCATAATGCCATTAAATATGCCTTCAATCAATTGTTTAAAAGATTCTAATGATTTGATTAAATAAATAGTTGAACAAAAAATAAGTAAATAAAGAAGTCATTTAAAATAGGACATTTCAGTTATTTCATGCCTTAAAAACTCCTGACCAATTTAACTGAATGTGATTAACAGATTTAAAATAAAAATCACTGTTGTGTAATGATGGGAAATTTATTCTCTGTGGCAACAGAATTTCTGTCTGTTCAAGAATAAGACACAATATACTTACGTTGAGATGCTCTATATCCCAAAGTTCTGACCACCGCTAAGAGTTACTCACAACTGGGTAATGCCATGTGCAGGAAAATGCACATGTTAATAAACATCTGTTTGGTTGTTTTTTTCTCTCTTTTGTTGATCTTTTTCAATTCTCAGGGCTCCACCAAATAAACTTAAGATGGGTAGAGGGAAAATAGCTTTTCTCTGCTACAAACACAATAATGTAATCTATAAAAACAACAACAAAAAATCCTTATTAGTCAACAAGCTAAGTTACACTGCAGTAAAATAGCAACTCTAAAATTTTCAAAGCATATCACTATAAAGTTCTGTTTTTGGTCATTTCCAGGCTTTATCCATAAGTATTTTATGTCAATATACAATTTCAAAGTTCTTCAAAGCAGAGGAAAAAAATGCTGGAGGGTCACATACTAGGCCTTAAATACCTTCATCTGGGAATAACACACTTATTATCAATGTCACAACACAGAACTTATCACATGAATAAATCTAAAAGGACTGGAGAATCAAGGGAGAGGGAATAAATGGATATTTGACAACTGTAAAAGTCTCTGTCACCTATCTGTTCTTAATATTCTAAAATGTCTCTAATACTAAGACAAAATTAAATAATTCATTCATTTTAAATTTTATAATGTCATTATTTAAATAAAAGAAAGGAGCATTACAGAATTATAAAAGCAAATGCATTATTTTAGAATTGTGCTATGACTGGGAATCCCAGATGTGAAACGGAGAAGTGAGAAAGCTCTGGTAACATAGTTATTTTATGAAATTATGCAAAGTTTTGCTTTATCTGCTATTTAAATTCTAAAATTTCTAAAGCACATAGGATTTTCATTTATCTCCCACCAGTAGGTTCAATGGGGATTTTCTTGTTTATATAGGCCACTGTGGTGAAGAGTTGGATAGTAAAGCTTTATAATACAGAATAGAATCCACAAATATTATATTGGTAGATCAGATTATCCAAGGTGTGTTGGGTAGCATAATTGCATGAAATTATAAAAGGATATGGAACCAGATGTGAATATGAAAAGTAACTTTCTGACTTACTAGAATTTGACAAAGGACAAGATAATTAGCTTTTCTGAGCCACATTCTTGCTATGTCAACTTTTGTATAACAGCATGTTACATCAAGGGCTTCCCAGGTGGCACGAGCGGTAAAAAACCCAATGCCAACTCAGGAGACATAGAAGAGGTGGGTTGGATCCCTGGGTCTAGAAGATCCTCTAGAGGAGGGCATGCAGCCAATTCCAGTATTCTTGCCTGAGGAATTGCATGGACAGAAGAGCCTGGCAGGCTGCAGTCTATAGGGTCGCACTGAGTTGGACATGACTGCAGCAATTTAGCACAGGATAGCACTCGCTATATCAAACTGTATCTAGTGTGAAAGAAAGTGAAATTTTCTCAGTCTTGTCCTACTCTTTGCGACTCCATGGGCTATGCAGTCCATGGAATGCTCCAGGCCAGAATACTGGAGTAGGTAGCCATTCCCTTCTCCAGCGAATCTTCCCAATCCAGGAATTGAACCAGGATCTCCTGCATTGCAGAAGGATTCTTTACCAGCTGAGCTACTAGGGAATCCTGGTAGTATCTAGTGTAGAGATATAAGTTGCATAAAGTATACAACACATAATTCTATGAATATATTTTATTACTGATTAATGTATTTGAGGACACAGAATTCTTTAAAATTTTATCTTTAATATTTTTAAATTGAATTAAAATGAAAACATTGAAATAAATCTATAATCAACAGAAGGTAAAATAAGAAGTTGTTGCATATTATTACCCAAACAATGATAAATATATTGAAATTGAAGTAATGTAGGTAAGATAGTCAGTAGAAAGCAAATCCCAAACTAACAGCAGCAGTGATCCATTCATAACTTAGTCACCTTTGAAATAATTTGACATAACTATTTTTAAAATAATGACAAAGAGTCTCTTAAAACAAAAACATGATGTTAAAATTTGATGTTTGCATTTTTATAATGTCTCAAGTAAAATAAATGTGATATTGTATCTAAGGTTGAAACTGTTTAAAATGATTTGATGAAATCACGTATTTGAGGCAAAAATATGACATGAAAAATCTCAGTAGATTATTTTGGATTCTGTACTTCAGATTCTCAGTTGATAGTCCAGTTATACCAGTTAAAATCTGTCATTCTCTATGCTAAGTATAATATAGTACTTTACAAAGAGCTACAAAAAAAAACAGTGCTTATTACATTATTATATTATATTATATTATTATAGGAAATCAGTTCACATTGAAAACATTTAAATTAGAGCTTGAGATTTTAACACACAGCAGTATAAATTATAAGTACTTTTAAATTCCTTCTGAAATGTTAGCTATACATTTTTCTTCTCATATGATGCTAATCTTCATTTTAATAATACAAAATTTTATCATTTTTATTTTAACACACATCTGCATCCATCAAAAGTTTAGTTTTGATTTAAAATATTTGCCAAATCTCAAAAAGTACAACTGTTTGTTCATTTTTAAGTTTAAAGATCTTCCAAATATTCTAATTCCAACACAAGGAAAAGAAAAGGTTAGAATGTGCAAGAAACTAGTTAAGATAAGCAAAGTGAAATTCATGAATTTGAGAATAGCTTGAGACGATGTAATCATGATGTTTGGGTCAATGAATTCTAGCTTGTGGCTAGTTCTTGGCAGCTATATATCAAAGTTGATTTTGTATCACCACCCCAAACATTTCCAACATATTTTTACAGATTTTTTCTTTTTTTTTAAGTAGGGTGACAGCAATTTATATTAAGTACTTAAGATTTGCCTGAATAAGTGAGTGGATAATTAAAAAAAGGCTTTTTCTCAGATCAATTTGCTTTACCTTCAGAAGCTGAGGAGTACTATGGTTACACAGATGATTATGTGACTCTGGCAACAGCAATGACCACAGGAAAATCCTAAGAGACTTACAGCTTTGTCAAGGATTCCTTGCCAATTAGATGATGGCTGTGCAATCTTCTTATACCTGGTGTGGAAATGCGGGTGTCAAAGGCCCTGGACAAGTTAATCTGTTGTCTAAGAAATGAGTGGGCATCTTCATTTACCGCCTTTGCATGTCAAGAAATGGAAGATAGATTTGAGGATTTTGAGTTTGGTCTTACATGTCTTTGTGAAAGATATCAATTATTAACCAATCCTTTGTTGAGCTGTGCTTATTCAACAGATGGGATAACAATATGTGATTGTCAATAGGAAATTCTTAAAACAAAAGAAAAATTATAGGTAAAGTAATTTATCTAACATATAAATCATTGTAAATGTAAAACTATTTAGATTAGTAAAAAATTTCATGTACATATACATGCATATACATATAATGGAATATTGTTACAAAAAAATTACGTGAAAAAAAAATTTTCATTGCCAAACTAATTTTGTGTGGGCTTATTTGACATTAAAACTTTTGGGAGTAATTTGCAACTACTGCATGTTTTCATCTGTCAAAATCATTCCACTTTTGTGTTTTAGCATTGAGCTAGGTTAAAATTTCAGCTGGAAAAATTAACATTTGTATGGTTAAAATCTCATTTCCTATTGAAATGATCAACTATGGTTATTGGAAGTAGATATAAAATGTAGTGATTAAACTTTATACTAAATAAACAAGCTAAATAATAAGCTAAAATATAATTTATTATTTTTAAAAGTAGCATTATGAATTTTTTTAATGTTCTTATTGCCTACAGGAATAACATTAAGGATTAATGCCATAACTAAAATAAAATAGAAATATCTAATTTACTATACATTTATATTCTATCATAATGTAATGGACCCAACTCCTGTGCAAATTTTTCATAGACAGTTAAAAATGCAATAGCCTTAATAAATTATCCTCATAATTTAGTCATAGACATATTGATTTTGCTAAAGGTGTATTGAAATAATGTATTTCTGTGTTATATGGTCAAATGACTTTACAAAGAACACACTTAAGACTCATTTGTCCAAAACTTAGAAATACTATCAGTATCCTTATATAATGTAAGGGAAAACATTATTCCATAATACAGAGATATGTTATTACAAAGTGATTCCAGACCAAAAAAGAAAAAAAAAGCTCAAACTGCATTCATTTCAAAAATAATAAAATGAGAACTTTTTTTGTTTTTTTTTTTACAGTTGGCTACATTTCAAATGTCTCTCATCTTCTATTTTAAACATATTGATACTGTTAGCTTTTTTCAAAGAACATTAAAACACATGTTTGGAAATAAGAGACTGATCAAATGGAAAGCAGATTAAATTAAAAGTAAACACTTTTGATTTTGAGACCTTAAGTCCAGTGTCTGATAACCATATTTATTGGAAAAGCTCCTTAACTGTAACTCTGAGTATGTATACTAGGACTGACCTGATTGTAACCATATGTCCTAACTAAAGAATTCCAAGAATATTCCATGAAAGAATAATATAAAACCTTTTCATCACACGTGGATACTTGTAAGTGCCCCATTCCTATCAGATGAATGAAAAAGAAGAGAGATGCAGATAAAAACTTGGCAAATAAGGGACCCAAGTATGTTATTTAAAACTAAATATCAGAGTGCTTTAAAAATACAAATAGAAAACTTACACACTAAGCCAGACAGGAAATTCCAACAACAGGAAAAATTCTAACTTAAAATAATCCAAGGAGACAGGGTGGAATGTATTTTTCAAAGTTCACATACATGAAATGTGATGATAGTCACAAAGAAGAGGAAGCCTCAAGAAAGAGAAAGTAAGTGATTTAAATGGAAAATCATTTGAAATGATTCTACAAGTATATTACAAATATCATATATAATAGCCAAGTGGATACGTTTATGATCCAAACAAGTTTATTTAAAGGAACTTGAGAAGAGGCTTGTTTGTAGATATTTTAAGGTTTACAGGGCTTCCCTGGTGGCTCAGATGGTAAAATGTCTGCCTGCAATGTGGGAGACCTGGTTTCGATCCCTGGGTTAGGAAGATCCCCTGGAGGAGGGAATGGCAACCCACTCCAGTATTCTTGCCTAGAGAATTCCATGGACAGAGGCGGCTGGTAGGCTAAAGTCCATAGGGTCGAAAAGTTTGGACACGACAGAAGCTTCACTTCACTTTACTTTAAGGTTTACAATATGAAAATGCTTATTTTCTAATCTTCACACAAAATAAACTTCCAGTTTAAAAAA